TGTTATCCTCTCCTACAACTGGATTCCAGGGCCATGGCTGGGGGACCACTACCATGTCCATGTACCACTGAACTACAGCTTTGAATTGCACATGTGATGCCACACCAGCAAACACGTTTTTCCACCTGCTTTACCACTTTATGCTTACTAGAAAAGATGAAGCAAAACCATATTAGAAGTAACACAGGATCACTATGGAGATCTAAGGCTGCAGCTAAGTAAGTGTCCTTCCATCCAACAGACAACCTCGGGGACAGCTAAGCATTTCATTTTCCCGTGAAATCCATAGGAAGCCTGGCTCCAACCTCCTTTGGTCACAGTTTAATAAATTGATGGCAGAAATGGGCAAAACTCTCCATTCTCTGATTCTTGGAGAGTTATAATGGATATGCTAAATCAATGCTTTTCACCTGCAACCATCAAGGGACGAGATGACAAGCAAAGCACTGGGCACATCAGGAAGGGAATGGAGGGGCAGCAACTCCAGCTTCTCCATCAGCAAAAGAAACTGACGTGACAAGAGGATGAATGATTCATTGATCAGTAGTTTGCGCTGAACTATTGATTCAAGTAGGGACTTCAAGCCAAAGAAACTGACGTGACAGGAGCATGAATGAGTCACTGATCAGTAGTTTGCGCTGAACTATTGCTACAGCTGATGACTTCAAGCCACATCAACAGGACGTGCTCAGAGTTTTATCTTCGAAACCACAGCTTAAAAGACAGGAGCTGCTGAGCCATATTCTCAGCTATTGACTCAGAGATGACACTATGAACTCCAGAATTACACATGTGTAACCAAGACAGAGCCAAAGTACATCCAGGGGATAATAACAGTTAAATGTCATAACCATCACTTGACAATAGCATCTAAATAGATTCTAACTGTAAGTCTGATGGTTGTTTAATCAAAAAGCAGGATGATAACATAGGGAAGCATATACATATTTACCAAAGGGATTCCAGTAAACATGGTAGCATTGGTTTATCAGCTTAAACAATCAGCGCTTCATTAACTGCATTTAACAACTGGGTAGCAAAGTTTCTTGCCAGGTAAAATCAGATTGGAAAAGTCACCACCAGCTTAAACACGATTAACTTTCTGTGCCACTGCTAGTAAAAGCAAATCCAATTTACTAAATAGTTTAAAGGGCAGCTTTTAATTATTTTTGCACACTTCCAAAGCATGTAACACGAGAGAGACAGAAAATGTGCTATGCTGATCTACTCTGGACTCCAGCAACACAAAAAAACACTTAAAGCATAGAAAGGCTTCTTAATACCTGAACATCAAGCCCACCCTAATAACAGATTGCAGAAGCCCCCATGATGTTAGCTGGAATCTTTAAAAGGGGGAAACCCATATACAGTTGCATCACACATAATAAGACTAACCTGGGGGATTCCTTTCTCTTTGCCGTTACTCCAGTGCTTCCTATTTCTAAAACAACCTCTAGGGAACAAATATACAGCAAACAAATAAACTCTGCTGAGTACAACCAAAACATTTTACCTGGTTTTACACACTTATGAGCCCTCCCACAGAGGCTACACAACAGTCTGAAGTGTTTTACACAGCAGAAATTGAGGCAATGCACTAACACAGCAAGTCCCCATCAGAAGTAGAGGTAGGACCCAACTGAGCAGCTCATAGCTATGTCAATGGAGCGACAACTCTGCTGCCTTCCTACACTTTTTACCCAACACAAGGAAACTTTCAGTTTCCCAACTCTAATTGTCAAGCACCAATTTGTTTTCAGCTACGACATGGGCTGAAAAACAAACCAACAAGCCCAAATCAAACAAAAAGCCCCCCGAATTCATGCTGAGAAGAAACAGCTGCAACCAAACTGGCCCAGAATTGCTCCACGCCTGCTGACCCGCAGCATTACATCCTCAGGTTATGTGATTCTCCAAACTCTGGTCGGCTGGAAGACTCCATCTGCATAACAATAACTAAACCAAATGGCTTCCCTTGAGCGTCCTCAGTATGTATATCCCCTTTCTCGCATTGGCTAACAGCGCACAGCCAGCCTGTGCAAGGGATTAGCATCAGAATAGAAATCACTCTAGAAATCCACAGGCTCCCACTGACCAGACTCGGTGACCCAGACATCAAACTGACTTCTTTTCCCAAGGAAAACAGCTGTGGGCTTTAAAAGTTGACAGACCTTTCGGTTGATTTATTTCATATTAAGGTAGCAGACATCCTGAGGAGAGCTACCAGACCCAAGCAGGGAAACCAACAACTTTCAGTGAGACAGGCACAGACATCGCATGTGCTCATCTTCAAGTTCAAACCCTTGCAGGAATCTGGTGGAGGAGAATGGGTCTGTCAGGGGTCTGGAGGTGGAGAATGGGTCTCTCAGGGCCCTTATTGGCTCAGCCTTACCATGGGTGGAGGAGAATGGGTCTGGATGTGGAGGAGAATGGGTCTCCCTTATTGGCTCGGCCTTACCATGCTCATCATCAAATCCCCTGATCACGAAGCTCATAGGCTCTGCTTGTAGGAGATGCTGCTGCAGCCCACTGAAACCCAGATCCTGGAACTGGGGAGGGAGCTGGCCCTGCATGAGCACACACTGTCTGACAGAAGCCACCCACATTTACCGTGCCACGAGAGCAATTAGTCCAGGGCTTTGCAAGTAAAATGCACTCATTTTCCTGCAGCTCTTTACAGCTTCTTCCCTTTCTGCCCTAACCCTGTAATCAGCCAAAATGGTATCAAGCCAAGAGCTATGAGACAACAGCTCCTGCCTTGGTCCCAACCGCTGGAATCACACAGAACTATGCAGGTAAGAATATTGTGAGAGGAAGTGCAAACAAACATAATCCTGAAGACGCCAACATCTTCCTTGTACTTGTGGAGAGGAGGATGCAAAGGCCAAGGGAAACCATTCCATTTTTTGTCTCCTATACAAACTCTTCCAGCCATAACAATGAAAAACACCACCTATTTTTGGAAATATGTAGAATGGGTTCCTGCAAAGCACACTGAATTCTTGTATAAACATATGACAGCAGTTGACGTGTTTGGATTGAAACGGGGGAAGTTGACTGGAATCATCCCCATAGTGTGGTCTGACACTTCAGGCACAACAATGCAGTCAAACAGCAAAATGACATTTCCTTTTCAGACGTCCACAAAAGAATCAGAAGCCCAAGGGAAAATGGCCAAAGTAGCACTATTCCCCATGTTGTTAGATTCCCCCTTAACATCACCTTTTCCCTCCCTTTCCATCACAGAAAAACAGACTCTTCAGAACTGGGATGCTGATAGTTCACAACCCATCAGCAAGGCGCACAAAAGCACTGCAACATCCCAGCTACAAACCATAGGGAAAGTCCACAAGGCAAAACAATTCCCCACTGATATTTCTGCTGACCTGCCTCTGATGCTCTTTGTTTCTTTGCACACTTGACCTATATACTTGAAACAAAGCCCAGGCTATGACCACAAGCTTAAAGACTGACCACTAATTTGCTTCTGGCAATAGAGTACCATTTCTGTACATTATGCATGGTATCAATACCACATTAACCCTTTCAGGTCTGTTCTTTCCCCGAATAGTTTCATGAAAATAACTCAGTGCAAGCACAGGAACTATTTGCTTGCTCTTTTACCATGAGGAATACGTAACAATTTACTTACCAGTCAAAATAAATTGCTCACTCAAGGCTAACCTAATTTTGCAAAGCTGGAATGAAAAGACATCTGTGCAGCAGGGAAGATACCGCACAGTTCTGCACAAGCATGTGCACTGGATTTGTCCCTGTCACACAGAAAAAGGTTTCTAAACCCATACTCCAACCTCAAAACAGATACACTTTAAAGAGTCTTGGAAACTTATTCTGTTCCATGTCAAAGAGGAATGTCTGGTCACCTATGGATAATACACTTGAGGTTTATAGCATGTTTTAAGCTTTTGTTCTCTTTCCTTTCCACCCATTCCTCTGAATTCCAGTCTTACCAAAGCCAGCATGAACCAACACCACAAATTGGACACCCAAGTCCAAGCCTCTGTCCAAAGTGCTGCTTTGTGCACGATCTTGCGTGCAAAGTACTGAGGCACAACATAAAATGCCTCCTTCCCATCACCTTCACACCCCCCAGCCATCGCTCCGGTCCAGGTGGAGGTAGGAGACACGTTCACAGAGGAGAAGCAGTGTGAGGAAGGGAAACAGTGATACACACAGAACTGAGCTTAATTCAGCTTCGTCTCAAGTTGAAGCCATTGCTCGCCCAGAGCCCAGATGCGTTACGGACCGCTCCTCACTATGACCTCCCCATCACCTCCCCACTGCAATCTGGTGGGAGACAACCAACATCTCGCACATAAACCCGTATCCACACGTGTGCGCGCACACACACATCTCTGACACGCCTGTTGGGCGCTCCTCCATTCCCACAGCGCTTCCAAGCACCCGTGTCACCCGCACAGCACCCTCGCTGACCCACCGCCCTTCACCGCACCTCGCAAGCTCTAACAGGGCACTGAAAGAGCCTTGTTGAAAGCACCACAAAGGACAATGGAGAAGGAGGCCAAGCACAAAGCCGGGCGGCAGCTGCACGCTAACCGGGGCGCGCAGCGCCGTTTTCCCCACGCCTCAGAGGCATGGCAGGCTGGAATCCCGATGATCCCTTCTTCCCTACATTATTCCTTGGAGAGAAGGGAATTGATCCACCTCCGAGACCTTCCCGGAAGGATGGGGGCTGAAGGCGTGCGGGGAAAAAGGGGAAAACGGGAGGGGGGGGCCGCCGAACGACAAATAAATATAATAATAATAATAACTAAAACCAGCTGGGTCATTTACCGTCGTGAGAACGGCCCCTGAGGTACCGGCCCATCCCTCGCCTCCAACGGCCCAAAACGTTGGCGAGCCTGCGACGTGCACCCCCTCACCTCACCCATCCCCTCTCCGTCGCCCTCGCGATACTGAGGCCGCTATCGCGACACAAACCCACACCACCACCACCCCCCACAAACACACACACATTATTATTCCCACGCTCACCTCGCTCCACTACACCGCGGGGGGGGCCCGAGCCCGGGCGCTCCAACCACCGCCTACCAGCCGCGTCCCGCCGCCATGGCCGCCGCAGGTGAGGGAGGAGACGATGGGGAAAGGCCGCACCGCCGGGTGAGGGGAAACGGCGTCCGGCTCGCTCCCGGTCTCGTCCCGTCCCCTCTCTCCGCACACACACACGCACACGCTGCCCGGCTCAGAGAAAGGGCTGCGGGGCCCATGCGCGCTGCCGCCGCTCGCTGGCTCCACCCCGGCGCCGGGGAGGGGCGGGCTGGTGCGGGTGGGAGGGCGCAGCTCCGGCCGGCAGGGATGGGGAACACGGAGGGTAACGGTGATGGGTGGTGTGGGTTAGGGTTAGGGTTAGTAGAGACTTGTTTAGTCTTCAGGTGTTAAACGTTTCTCAAGTAACAAAACACACACGGGATTTAACATGGTTTTCTCTAAGAAACAACAGTTTTGGAGCCGCTTTTAAGAGCCTCACACCTTGCCATCAGTTACTTTTAGCAAAACTGGTTGTCCTCATTCATCCTTGTGTCTTAAGAGCAACTTACAGGAGTAAGTCAATCTCTGTCATCCTTTCCTACAACTGGATCCCAGGGCCGTGGCTGGGGGACCACTACCATGTCCATGTACCACTGAACTACAGCTCTGAATCGCACATGTGATGCCACACCAGCAAACACGTTTTTCCACCTGCTTTACCACTTTATGCTTACTAGAAAAGATGAAGCAAAACCATATCAGAAGTAACACAGGATCACTATGGAGAGCTAAGGCTGCAGCTGGATTAGTGTCCTTCCATCCAACAGACAACCTCGGGGACAGTTAAGCATTTCATTTTCCCCTGAAATCCATAGGAAGCCTGGCTCCAACCTCCTTTGGTCACAGTTTAATGAATAAATGGCAGAAATGGGCAAAACTCTCCATTCTCTGATTCTTGGAGGGTTATAATGGATATGCTACATCAATAGAGGGGTTGTTTGGGGCTGAGCGAGGGGCTTGGTGGGGCGTGCAATGGCCTCGGTGTGTTGGCGATGAGGCTGTGTGAAGCCTTTGAGGCGTTCTTGTCAGGGAAGAGCACTCAAACGCTTGTCAAAGAGGCCCTGGAGTTTGCTTGGTGCTGTAATTGATTTACTACAGCCATTAATTGGTTTGCTACACTGTGCCTCCACTGTGTCAGTGCCAGCTAGAGAAGGATGCTTTACCTTGGTCGCAGGCCATGTGGATGCATGGACACGCTATTGCATGCCCCGTTCACAATACAAAGCCTTCCCTTTGATACACCATCTCAGCAGCAACTCACTCAAAAGCCTGCAGGCTGACAGATTCACACCATCACAGAATCATAGAATAGTTAGGGTTGGAAAGGACCTTAAGATCATCCACTTCCAACCCCCCTGCCATGGGCAGGGACACCTCACACTAAACCATCTCACCCAAGGCTTCATCCAACCTGGTCTTGAACACTGCCAGGGATGGAGCATTCACAACCTCCCTGGGCAACCCATTCCAGTGCCTCACCACCCTAACAGGAAAGAATTTCCTCCTTATATCCAATCTAAACTTCCCCTGTTTCAGTTTTAACCTGTTACCCCTTGTCCTGTCACTGCAATCCCTAATGAAGAGTCCTTCCCCAGCATCCCTATAGGCCCCCTTCAGATACTGGAAGGCTGCTATGAGGTCTCCACGCAGCCTTCTCTTCTCCAGGCTGAACAGCCCCAACTTTCTCAGCCTGCCTTCATATGGGAGGTGCTCCAGTCCCCTGATCATCCTCGTGGCCTCCTCTGGACTTGTTCCAACAGCTATATCTCCTTTTGATGTTGAGGACACCAGAACTGCACACAATACTCCAGGTGAGGGGGAAGGGTTATGCCACCATTAGCACACTCACACACGACTTGGTTTTACTGTAGGCAATGTGGAAAATCCCTCCTGAGAACCACACCATTTCGTGGCCACAGAGGTTAAAACTCTGATTGCAGGTGTACATTGCATCATCACATCAACCAGTTGGAACAGACCTGAAGATCATTGAGTCCAACCGTTAGACCAGCACTGCCTCTATCACCATTAAACCATGTTCCCATTTATATGTCTTTTAGACCATGTCACATTTATATGTCTTTTAAACCATGTCACATTTATATGTCTTTTAAACCATGTCACATTTATATGTCTTTTAAACCATGTCACATTTATGTGTCTTTTAGCTATTTCAGGGACGGTGACTCCCCCATTGCCCTGAGCAGCCTGTTCTGTCCTAGTTTGTCCTGATCTCCAACCTAAACATCCCTGGCCAACTTGAGACTGTCTCCTCTTGTCCTACCCCTTGTTCCTTGGAAGAAGACACCAGCCATGTCCTGGCTCTATCCTCCTTTATTCCTTTGGTGCCTTTGGCGTGGGCCCAGAGGCACAGCAACTCCTCCACAAGCTGGATTTGATGCTTTTTGGTTGTCACTTCCACCTGTGAGACACTGAAAGTGTAGTATGTGATCTACATGAAGACTTGGTGACACCAGCTATGCTGAGTGGTTAAATAGCACTGTTTGCTAATGCACTGGGTGACTAAAGCAAGCTGGAAGCATGCGGGAGTTTGAGGTGTGAGCCTTAGAATATCTGAAGACTCTTTGGTTGTGGCAATGAACATTTTCAGAGCCTGTTGTGAGTAACTGATGGTAACTGTAAACGTGCAGAGTCTGGAACAATAGCTCTGAGACACGCGAGCTGCTTTGTGTCAGCATATGCTGTGCCAGATGCCAACAAACAGAACCGGAGTTGAGAACATCGATGGGGATGGGGCTCCACGTGGCAGGAGACAGTAAATCATAGGATCATAGAACAGTTAGGGTTGGAAAGGACCTTAAGATCATTCACTTCCACCCCCCCCGCCATGGGCAGGGACACCTCGCTCTAAACCATCTCACCCAAGGCTTCATCCAACCTGGTCTTGAGCACTGCCAGGGATGGAGCATTCACAGCCTCCCTGGGCAACCCATTCCAGTGCCTCACCGCCCTCACAGGAAAGAATTTCCTTCTTCTATCCAATCTAAACTTCCCTTGTTTCAGTTTTAACCCATTACCCCTTGTCCTGTCACTGCAGTCCCTAATGAATAGTCCATCCCCAGCATCCCTATAGGTCCCCTTCAGATACTGGAAGGCTGCTATGAGGTCTCCACGCAGCTTCTCTTCTCCAGGCTGAACAGCCCCAACTTTCTCAGTCTGTCTTCATACAGGAGGTGCTCCAGCCCCTGATCATCCTCCTGGCCTCCTCTGGACTTGTTCCAACAGTTCCATGTCCTTTTGATGTTGAGGACACCAGCACTGCACACAATGCTCCAGGTGAGGTCTCACGAGAGCAGAGTAGAGGGGCAGGATCACCTCCTTCAACCATCATGAACATGTTGCACCATGTCCCCTAAAGTGGGGAAGAGTGTAGCTGTGTGGGCTAATAAACAACAGAGGATGCAGAAAATACATCAATTACAGTGCTGACAGGGCAAAATCATGGGGTTTAATGTGCTGGTGTGTGCTACAACCTACTGCTCTAATCCTGTCAAACCTGTCAAGTTCATCAAGGATGGGCCAGGACCACACTCACTGCTGATAAAACCTTGGGGCACCAGCTTGCTGGCTCCATGTAGTAATGGGTGAGGAGGTGATCCCTATCTACCCATCACTGATTTGAGCGACTTTGAAATTCCTGGATGAAAGATACCCAGAGCATCCCCAAGTATGAGCCTTTCCCTCCTCATTAGATGCCATCAGCTCTTTTGAGATTTTAATTCTTCCTTATTTTGGCTGTGTGTCACTGTGTGATTTGTTTGCTCTTCCCAAGCAGAGGAGTTTTCATTCTGCCTGTCTTAACTGAAAACAAATGGTGGGCTGGAGATGGGAATGCAGCTTGGGAAAAGTGGAGATCAAAGAAAGGTCTTGACTCGGTGCTGCATTTCCCCTTTAACTGCCTCCCACCAAGCTTGTGGCTTGTGATTTGAAGCTGCTGCCTTTCCTTTCTGTCTCAACAGCTTTGCTTAGGAAAGGAAAGAATAAAAGGGAACGTTTTCCCTGTTTCTTGTTCCTCCCTCCTTGCTCTTGTTGATTTTCTGGAAAACCTTAATGGCTCTTCAGGAAACGCTTCAACCCAAAGGCAAAGTACTGAGCCCTCCTATCCAGTTCACCCAAACAGGAAAGGACTGATGCGAATTGCTTCAGCCTTTGCCAGTTAGAGGTTGCTGCTGCATGCCACAGGGCTTGTCTGCCCTTTCCATGTGGGATCTGAAGGTCACTCGGCCCTGATCACCTCAGCAGCCAGTGCTTTCAGGAAAAGAAAACTTTCCCAAAGGATGAGAGGGAGGAATTACGGCCACTATGGCAATAGTGGAAGTGTCAGTTCCTCCAGACCTGAGTTTCTGGTTTCAAACTGGTGTGTATTTATTTGTCATCAAGAGTAGGGTTGTTTGTCTCCCGTGTGAAGACTTTTTGATCCACAGGGCTTGTTCCGTGTGTTCTTTTGTTTCTCTGCTATCATTTTTCCACTAAGGAAAAGTGAAGAAGGGGATTTTGCCTGGCTTAGAACAGTTGGAGGCCCTTTTTGGTCCAGGGATGCTAACGGAAAGATGACTCAGATGCTGAGAGGAGCTGTAGAGAGCAGCTATGTTGATAGCTAGTTCTATCAGCTGTGCTTTGAGAAGATGCTCATGGGACATAACACTGTATCGTTCCTTCATGTTCTGCTTCTGGTAAATATTTTTCTTGGAGTGAAATGATAAATATCTAAGACAATCAGCTGCATTTGGAGATTTCTGGTGAGCTTTAGATGTTTGCTTTGAGAGGATGCTGATGCCGTTGCCAGACAGTACATGACTGTTCACAGAGCAAGCTGGGACCACAACAAAGAAGTGTGAAAGGAAAAAAACAAGATGGGGAAAAGGAAGAGTGAGAGACAATGTATTTCTGTTCCTGAAAGCTGCTTTGCATTCCTATAGAACCTTTCCTCCCAGTATTGCAGGGCACATCACAAGCATTAGTCATGCCTCATGCCAGATTTGGGACACGACTGAGGCAATTCCTGCCACCATTTAGAGATTAAGTTTCCTGGATAGATATAACCCAGGGAGAAAGGTGAAGCCTTTCTGGTGCAATAAGGGTGTTGAATTTGGACTGGTGCTTCAGGGGGTTGCAGCAGAGAAAGATTATCTCATTTATCAGAATCTTTACAAAGCAAGAGTTTGACATCCAGAAAAAAGCATCATAAAATGCAATCAGATTCATTAATTTCAGCTTTAGTATCGTAGAATCGTAGAATGGTTTGGGTTGGAAAGGACTTTAAGATCATCCACTTTCAACCCCCTGCCATAGGCAGGGACACCTCACACTAGACCATGTCACCCAAGGCCCCATCCAACCTGGCCTTGAACACTGCCAGAGATGGGGCATTTACCACTTCTCTGGGCACCCTGTGCCAGCACCTCAGCACCCTCAGAGTAAAGAGCTTCTTCCTTATACCCAACCTGAATTTCCCCTGTTTCAGTTTGACCCCATCACCCCTTATCCTATTGCTATAGTCTCTGATGAACTGTCCCTCTCCAGCATCGTTATAGCCCCCTTCAGACACTGGAAGGCTGCTCAGGTCTTAGCTGCTCTTTGAGGTTTTAGCTTAATCTTCATTTCAGTTACTTACTGCAGTAATTCAGTTAGGATTGAGATGCCAAGCTTGGTATCTTGCCTCTCTTAAAGCTGATGGCAGCATTGCTATTGACAACTGAAGTCAGGCTTTTTTCCCCAAGGTAGATGTTAGTGGTAAGAGTCTTCATCCAAGTACCTTCAATAGCAAACCTGGCATGTTTGAGAGGGCTCTGGGGGAGCAGAGAGAAAGCCTCTGTCTTTACCAGTATTCCTACTCATGTTTTCAGGAAATAAATGTATATTTTCTTGGCAATGGATATACAGGCTCAGTGGGGCTGATGGCTCAGCTGGTCCCTCTGTGACTGTTTCCAAATGCATGTTTTGTGATCAGACAGCTCCTTTTCAGCACGGATAGGAGATTGGTTTTGTCCCTACTGTATTTTATGGCTCAAGTTTTTCACCTATTTTTGGTTTTTAGAATCTTTAGGTATGAGAATCCTCCTGATTCATATAGGACAAACCCAACATTTCTGTATATGTGCACAACACTGTAAATCCACATGAATTCATTTCTAAAGCCCGGAATGGTACCAGTCCAGTGTACACACATAGTCTCCGGGACTATGTGAAGTTCAGCTATGTCTAAATACAAGCAGAGCAGAACAGAACTTTCTATCCCAGCCTGTCTCTTTGACGGTCACATCCGCTCCGATGAGTGCAAATGGAAGTCTGCCAGGTACTGGGCTGATTTCTCCTAGCGTGCAATGTGGTGCTGTGCTTGGGATAGGGCAAAATTGCTCTTTTGACTGCTTGCTCTTTAATCCCTCCTTTATAGTCTCAGAAATGTTCCTGGAGCTATAGTGCCAGGAAGCATCTGTGAAGTCAAGTGACTAGTTGGGTCAATCACATGCCTGTTTCTCCATGAGAGCCAGCTTCTAGCTGCTGGGACCTTGGTGGGAAGGGAGGTGGGACTGTTATTGCAGTTCACACAGTTTCTCTCTATGGGAAGGGGTTGAGATGAATTCATGTAAGCAGGGGGGCTGCAAGACTGAGGGGACTTAGCACATGCTGAGCACTTGTGGGACTTGCTAAGATCATAGCACACCAGTGAGAGAGTAAAGGTACAGGGCTGAGGGTAATAGGGCAATGTCCTGGAACCCAGCACTATTCCTCAGCTGGAGGAGAGTATTGGAAGCACTCAGTGATGGAAAGGAAACATGCAGGGTACACCAGCCCCTGCCTCCTTTTCTCAGTGACCGGTTTGGTGCTGCACCCCATCATACTTAATGCAAATTAGGTTGTGTAATAATTTGCATATTTATGACTGTGTGTGGCCAGAGCTGTCTGTTTCTGTTCATGTCTCTGCATTGCCTGAAGTGAGTGCGCATAGCAGATTGGATCAAGCCTGAGGTTTAGCTGCCACAAGCTGGACAACTGCCTTGTAAGAAGTGCACAGTGTCTTGCATTTTCAGTCTTAGATTCTCCATCTCTGTTAGAGAGTGGCTTAACCCCCAGCACAGGAGGTATAACCTGGAATCCCAGCCTGGTTTGGCTTGGAAGGGACCTTCAAGCTCATCCAGTTCCAACCCCTGCCACAGGTATGGGACACCTTCCACTAGAGCAGGATGCTCCAAGCCCCTGTGTCCAACCTGGCCTTGAGCACTGCCAGGGATGGGGCAGCCACAGCTTCTCTGGGCACCCTGTGCCAGCGCCTCAGCACCCTCCAGCTGTTGTAATGAATCCAGCTGTTTTAATGATGACAGCTGTGACAGTTCCTTCTATCAAGAGCAGATGTGAGATGCTATGGGGTGTAGCAATAAAGGGATGAGTAAAGTTCTCTGCAGGAACTGATGCTGTGGATCAGAGCTGCACTGCAACCAGCAGGAAGGGGAAGGTTGAGGGTGGCTTCAGGCAATGAGGAGGAAAGACAAAGGATGAGAAATAAGCAGGGAATTTAGCTAAAAGGTTCCTTCATTGATTGATTGAACTGACACTGGAGAGAAATTGGCCTTAGGTCAAGTCTGCAATGCTTTTATGGGATTGCTCTCCCTCTGAGCATCCTAGACTGAGAGTTGAGCCAAGCATCATGGCCTGAAGGCAAGTAAACAAGAAAGGGATAAGAACTGTCCCTTACAAGGACAGTTCCCTAACATACACTTGACTTGCCAACTCAAAGCTGTAGGTCTGTTTCACCTGCTGGGCTCTTCTGTCAGGAGGTGGATAGGGAGAGCACCTCCTTCCATCTGGAATCCTGTTTAAAAGTGCTGCATCATCGGTGGCGTGTTGTGATTTTGAGACCTCTTGTGCTCCAGAAGCTCTCAGGCTGTCTTTGGAGCAGGGCCACGTGCCATCAACACCTTGAAAACACAAGTGGATTAAATGTGCCCGTCAGGAAACAGAAAGCACATCCCAACTTATTTAATAAATGAGAGGTTTGCTGCCTAATGTTCTGTTACTGGGGCTGCTGAACGTTCTGTGAAGGTAACAGCATAACAGCTTTGTTCTCAGCTCAGAGGTGAAGGGGGGGCACCAGGTATTGCTGCCCAGAGGGCAGGGTTTGCAGTGGCATTAATAAATAGAAGTACAACAGGGAATAAGGTTATGCGTCAGGATTGCTGTGATGGGAGAAGAACAGCAACAAGGAGCTTTAGAGTAGAATCGATCCCTGTTCCATCAATGGGCTGAAAACATGCATTTATAAACCAAGAATTAAGACAGGAATCCTCCTGGCAGTTATTCCCCATAAGCCTTCATCATGGACCTGGACAGGATGCTGCTGGCTGGGCTGTAGCTGCCCATTTTGCACTGCTTGTCCCCCCCATTTACCTTTGTAGCAGCCTCACAGCAGCCTGAGCAGTTTTGCAGCTGAAACGAAAAGGTGCCTGGGTCTGAGTCATTCTTCATTCTCTCAGCAGCTTCAGGAGCTGAATTTGCACTGAACATTTATTACTGTGTGTCTTCTGGGGATACCTAATTTTTGTTAGCATCAGATTCCATGACTTAGCATCATCAGTAGCTATTAGACGTATATACTCCAGTCAAAAGCTGCTTTTCCTTTTAAGCCTGCTTATTCTAGGATATGTTTTTTCCTCATTTCTAGGGGAGTTCTGTGCAGTTCTTCTGACAAGTGCAAGATGGGCAGTGGGAATGAGACCTGTAATGAATCCACTGGATGCACAGTGCAAGCAGAAGCGCTACTCTGGGATGAAGAAGCTCTGCAGTCTCTGTGAGGTATCTGACAAGACAGCATACACTGTTCATTAGAATGGTGGGGTTTGTGAATGGCCCCCAGTACATTCATTTCATGTGTGGTATGGAGGACAGGAGGGAGAAAACGATATCTTACAGCATTCCTCTGGATTCTTGCTCATCACATCTGCAGGATTCCGCACGATGGAATCAAGAGATGATTCACTGGAATTTTAGTCAAGAAAATCAGAGCAGCTTGAGCCCAGTTTCCCACCCCTTCTTGTAAGTGTGTGTGTGTTGAGGGGGCTGTTGGCATTGAAAGGGAGGGATCCTTTACTATCAGGGTGCTGAGGTGCTGGCACAGGGTGCCCAGAGAAGCTGTGGCTGCCCCATCCCTGGCAGTGCTCAAGGCCAGGTTGGAAACAGGGGCTTGGAGCAAGCTGCTCCAGTGGAAGGTGTCCCTGCTCATGGCCATGGAACTGGATGAGCTTTACGGTCCTTTCCACCACAAACCAGGCTGGGATTCTGTGATTGCAAGCATTGACCTGAACTGTGGGAGGTCCAGATTCAGCTCTTGCATTGCCAGACACAGACTCTGAATCTGGCCATGTATCCTCATTGTACTTTGGCTTGGCATCCAGAAAAATCCCTTCACGGATTTGGGGGTAAAGCTGCACTATCAGGGTGTCTTGCTGGTTTGTCACACAAGTGTTAAAAGGACAGAGAGAGGATGGTTGTCCCTTTAAACAAAGTTCTTTTATGTAATGCTGCTTGCACAGGAAATATGGTTTTCAGCTCTCCAACTACCACAGTACCTGCCATTTATTGCAATTTACTCCTGAAACGCTAACTGCCCCTGTGCTCTTGGACCAGATGCAGCATCCTTTGATTCCTGTTGTCCTTTTGTCTTTGCTTGCTTGGCTCTAAACGTTTTGTACCCAGAACATCTCCCCTGTGCTGCAGCAAATGGGGAATACTGTTAGTGAAGCAGCGAGTTAAGAAGCATTGACACACACAGGAGGAATTAGGACTGTTGGGGAGGGGGGGTGTCAAGCTTTGTCAAGGATTCTGTGCTGCTCTTCCCAAATCTTCCAGTATTTTTAAGCGCAGGTAGTGCCAGGACAAGGGGGAAGGGGTTTACACTGATAGAGGGGAGATTTAGAAGGGAAGTGTGGTACAGAATGATGCAAAGTCTGCAGGAGTACTGGCTCTCCTATGAATCTGGAGCCAAAATGCCTGCTACTGGTTTCCAAGTGGAGTATGCCAGAAATGATGCAAAAGCTGCTTTGCTCTTGCCTCTTGTGATCTGCAGGGATGAGTGGAGTTGGTAGAAGGTGGAAAATAATGAAGGTGTGAGCAGAAATAGTAACTGTCACGATGTCTTCAGTGTTAATCTGTCATAGCTGGCTTTGTGCAGACTCAGACCCTCTCCCATCTCACTGCTCCATGCTGTGCCAGAGGTACAGCCTCACAAACTGAGGTTGCATCTAAACTTCCTTGTGCTGCTGTTTTCAGATCCTCTGTGCCGTGGCACTCTGGTCCCCATCAGCATTGCTTCTGTTTGCTTTGTGTACAATCAGCTGCTTTTTCCTTGGTTTTATTCATAGAATCCCAGACTGGTTTGGGTTGGAAGGGACCTTAAAGCTCATCCAGTTCCAACCCCTGCCACAGGCAGGGACACCTCATACCAGTTTGCCCCAAGCCCCATCCAACCTGGCCTTGAACACTGCCAGGGATGGGGCAGCCACAGCTTCTCTGGGCACCCTGTGCCAGCGCCTCAGCACCCTCACAGGGAAGAGCTTCTGCCTAAGATGTAACCGAACTTCCCCTGTTTCAGTTTGAGCCCATCACCCCTTGTCCTATTGCTTCAGTCCCTGATGAAGAGTCCCTCTCCAGCATCCTTTTAGGCCCCTATTTATTGCTCGTGTAGCACTATTATCTCCAACTCAGATAAAAAACTTAAAGTCATAACAATGGAGGTAGCTACAGTAGAAAATAAGGTGTAAACAGGCTCCTCCCTTCTGGATTGTACCAGAGTTGAAGTGTCCTGGCTCTCAGTTTAAACGTTCACAAAGCTCCCATGTTACGTGCTCAAGATTCCATCCCAGTATGATTTCTTTTAGGTCGTATCTAGCCCTAAGAGCCTGACAATATTCAGTGTTTCTGGTGTTTTAATATTGCTGAGGGAGGAGGAAAATTGTTAACCCCATAGTGGAGCAGGCACTGTAATCCCTAATTCTAAATTCTCCATGAAAACCCTCATGCCTGCGCTATCAGACAGAATTCAGGATGCTCAGTGTATCATTTGCCTCAATTGATGCCCCTGCCACTACTCAAAGCTATTTTCCTTCTGTCCCTGAATCAAAGTTGGTTTATTATTCTATTTTTTATTTATTGTAATTGCCAAATTCCCTTTTTGCTGATTAAATAAAGGAATTCTTTTCGTTTTGTAGGTCTCTTGTGGTTCAAACACTTCATCAAATCCCATGTAGCCTAACAGTGTCTTGGGACTGCTAAAGGTTAATGCTTGGACTGGTTAAAGGGGAAGAATCCCTGCATGTGGTTTCCAGCATTCACTAGGTGGTGAGAATCAAAACATCTCGTTTGCCTGAGGATCTTAATTTTCTGGGAAGACATTGGATGGCAAAGGCAGTGGGGTGGGAGGGAGAATGAAGATACTTCACAGGGAATGGAGACAGAAGAGAACAGCAGGGTAGGGAGAGTGTGCAAGTAGGTCAGATGCATTGCAGACCCAAAAAAATCATTATTACAATTAGAAGAGATGAAGGAAGAACAAGCAGCAGCAAAGGAATCCAATTTCTCAAGCCACTTAAACAAGAGCAAGTTTTCCATACCATGCACCAATCTGGAGCAAAATGGGAGGAGAATGTCCCATGCGATGTATTTAATGTCTTGTCTTCTGTATATTAATCCATGAATTCCTGAATAAAGCTCTTTTCCTCATCGCCATGAGGAACAAATGCTGCAGAACCTGTTGCCCACCCGTCCTTGCTGGAGTTCGGTTAAATTCTGACCTTTTAAGGCTATAATTATGTGGTCAGGTCTCCAGGTGAAGAATGCACCCGGTGTGACAGCAGTGCTTGCTGGCAGCAGGCAGTCAAGGACTTCTTCAGCGCATGAGGTACCTGTTCCATCCTCGCAGAGATAACTTCTTCCTTATCTCCATCCTGAACTTCACCTGTTTCAGTTTGAACCCATCACCCCTTGTCCTATTTGCTACAGTCCCTGATGAAGAGTCCCTCTCCAGCATCCTTGTAGCCCCCTTCAGACACTGGAAGCTGCTATGAGGTCTCCCCACAGCTTCTCTTCTCCAGGCTCAACAGCCCCAGTGTTCTCAGCCTGGCTCCATACAAGAAGTGCTCCAACCCTTGAGCATCCTTGTGGTCTCCTCTGGACTTGCTCCAACAGCTCCATGTCCTTCTGATGGTGGGGACACATCTGAGGATGTTGAGAAGCTTTGCAATGACAAGGAGATTCTGTGGGTTTCTTAGCTTTGGGGCAACCCGAAGTGTGGGAGATGTGCCCACTGTGCTGTGCCTTACTCTCCTCATCCCTTTTCTCTTCTAGCTTGACTTGTTGCTTTGTCCCACATGCCACAACAGCAATGAAATGGAGTTTGATTTGAATGGGGATTCTTTGCTTTGCTTGTATCAAGGCAAAACCCAATACTGACAGCTTTAGCTCTGTAAAACAGAACAACATTCTCCTCCTCCGGCGTGATCATTTCTTTTTGATGTACCAAACAATAGACCTGAATAGTAAACATAGGAAATGCCTCTTCATTTGCAAGAGGCACACATCCTTTGTACAACAGACACACTGTGCTCTGTGAATTCTGGTATGAGCTGGGAATTCGGGGCCTGTTTCAGTAGGCAGCTTTAGTTCATCTTTGACTTCACAGTGTGCTCTATGCTCCTTCTATGTTTTTAACATTGACTTGGGTGCCCTCGACAGCAGCCACAACCTCTGAGCTGTTTGACAGAGCTCTGCCCTGTCAAATGTTTCTTAGCAGGAGCAGGCTGTTGGATAAGTTTAAACAAGATGTGGATGGCTCTTAACAAGGGCTTTAATACTGGCTGAACATCGTTCATAGCTGAACGCTGCTGTGGGCTGGTCTGCAGCCTAACCCAGCCCTGCAGAACTGCTGACTGTGAGCCCAAGTGTGGAGAAGGTTTGGCTTTTCATTAACAGCATGTTTGGTGCCACTCATTGGTTTCCTATTCATAGAATCATAGAATCCTAGAATAGTTAGGGTTGGAAAGGACCTTAAGATCATCGAGTTCCAACCCCCCTGCCATGGGCAGGGACACCTCACTCTAAACCATATTACCCAAGGCCTCGTCCAACCTGGCCTTGAACACTGCCAGGGATGGAGCATTCACAACTTCCCTGGGCAACCCATTCCAGTGCATCACCACCCTAACAGGAAAGAATTTCCTCCTTATATCCAATCTAAACTTGCCCTGTTTCAGTTTTAACCCATTACTCCTTGTCCTGTCACTACAGTCCCTAATGAAGAGTCCCTCCCCAGCATCCCTATAGGCCCCCTTCAGATGCTGGAAGGCTGCTTTGAGGTCTCCACGCAGAAGGATCTGGTGGATGAAGCATGCTAAAACTTCACAGCAGTGATAACCCATACAGCTGAAGTTACAACTGGTGCTTTCTCAACCACCCAACCCGAGAGGTCACCCCTCTTTTCTGCTGCCTTTGTGGCAATACAAACCCAGACTTGGGTTAACGCTTTCATTGCTGATTCTCTGTCACATTGTCACTCTAACAGTGTTGCCCTTCAGGTCCAAGCACTGCTACAACATGCTCTGCTCTTCCTACAGCACAGGGCAGAGCTTTGATAGAATAACCTGTCTCTCCTTTGTTTAGGCAATAGAGTGAGTGTGTGGGGAAAATCTCACCCCCAGTGTGTTTTGGACCTTCTCTAAAGATTGGCTTAAATGTTGAAGCAAGATGCTTACCTTTCTATTATGATTAAACTTCAGATCTTAATGGTTTTATGCATGTTAAATAGAATTATAGAATGGTTTGGGTTGGAAAGGGCCTTAAGATCATCCAGTTCCAACCCCCTCCCATGAGCAGGGACAACTTCCACTAGAGCAGCTTGCTCCATGCTCTGGTCACCCTGTTCCAGCTCCTTACTACCCTCACAGGGAAGAGCTCCTGCCTTAGATCTAACCTGAACATCCCCTGTTTCAATTTAAACCCATCACCCCTTGTCCTATCACTACAGTCCCTGATGAACACTTCCTTTGATTCTTGCTATCCCAGCTGTGACGGGGCTAAGTTGGTCTGTAGTTTCTGGGTTCAATAAAACTATGCTAAATTATACCTGCTAAGATTTCGGCCTCTTACTGCTGTGTGGGTTTTGCTTGACTATAGAAAGTAACTCAGCATCAATACTCTTCTATTGCTGGGAAAATCTTGGGTATGACATCTCAAAGGGTAGCATTTCAAGCACTGCTGTGGCGTGTCCCTCCTCTGTTGGGTACTGACCCAGCCTGATGGTATGTGGGCTTGGAAAGAGAAGAGCAAGCAGCAAGGTGGGAAGTGCAGGCACTTCTTACACACTAGAACATTAGACAAGCACTTTGATGCACACGTAAAGGAAAGGAAAATACTGTCTGGCTACCAGGCTCTATTCCTGTGTTTCTGACCTCTGTGATGACCTGCAAGTCCTTTTATCCCAGTGCATGCTGAAGACTTCCCATTTACATGGTGCTGAAGAGCACTGCGTTGCTTTGAGAGCTGCTGGAGAACATGGCAAGTCTTGCCGTGATGATTCTTGTTGTTCCATCTTTAAGCTGTCAGATTATAGAAAGCTAGGCAGATGCCTTAAAGCATTGTGTGCGGAGCAAAGCTCTCTTAAAGGAACAAATCCCCTTTTCCATCCTCTGGGAACAGAATGTCACAATTGTATGGGAAGATAGGACAGCTGTTACTGGAAAGAAGGTATCAAAGGGTAGGAAAGAAGCTCATGCAACACTAGGAAGAGATGGGAGGCAGCTCTTCATCCAAACTGAGAACGAAACATCAAGTATCCTCAAACCTGCTTGGTGAGGGTGTCTCATAAACACTGACATGAAGGGCCCCTTTGTGCCTGTGAGAGAGTGCCTGTTGTTCACCTAATGCCCTGGGCTCTGGAATGCAAATGCAATGTAGTACCTGAGCTCTTCGCACTTTACATGCTCCTTGGAGCTGTTTCTTTGTGAACCTGAAAGCCTGGAAGGTATTTTAAAGACATCCCAAGTCATCATTAGGCCTTCTCAGTGGCCTAACTGCTTCATAAACTTTGTGCTTGGAAGTTGAAACCCTTGACTTGCCTCTTACTATGGGAATTGCACCGATCAAGGCTTCCATGGGATGCTTTTAACCTAACGTGAATGTGATGGACAAAACCATCCTGGCGATTAATATATCTATTCTAGATAAGCAGAAATCCTGTAACACCAGTGATGAATTCCCTACATGCATTCTCCCTTCCTGAATCCCTCACCAGAGCCTCATCCTGAGCTTTTTAGGATCTTTCTAAGGCTGCTGCTCTTTGTTGCATTGCGCTACAGGCTGCTGCGGCAGATCTGCTGCAGGTTGGTGAAGTTACTGGAACCAGAGCCACTGATGATGCAATTAATCCTTATAGAGATGCTGTAATTACAGCAGTGGGATGTTACAGGGTTAATGAATTGCTTCTTCCTAAGTGCTTTGAGAGTCTTGAGTGAAAGATGCTACATACGTGCAAGGGATTCTAAGTTATTAGCAGTGATGCTCCCAGCTATTTGCAGGGTAAAACCAATTGAGTGTCATTGGAAATACTACATTTCACATGGGATCCATGGCATATTTCAGGTTGCAAGCCAAGATCCAAGGGTATGTTAGGCAGGGATGCGCAGCACCAAATGTGGCTTGTGGGAGTGCCCCATCAGTCCCTGTTGGAACAGAAAAGAGCTGGAAATGCAGCAGGGTGTAGAAAGTGGAGGAGGTTCCTCAGCTTTCAGTGAAGACAGGAGCAAATGGAAGAGCTCCAGTTCCTTAAGCCCTGGCTACACATGCCATCAGCATGTGTGCAGCCATTGTGGTGCTGTTACCTTCAGAGCCACCTTCTTTTTTAGGCTAAGCATTCTCCCCACCAGCAGCACTGTAGGCTTCATGGCCATGTATCTGTTAGAATGAGGCTGCCTAAGCTCTGCTGTTTATCCTGGCGCTGGGGAAGCAGTGCTATGTCTAGAGAGATTTCATCAGTGCTCAAACTTTAATAACTCAATGTGTCAAAATATGAGCTGTTCAATTACTGGAATTTCCTTACTCATGGCAGGGAGAGCCCTGTTCCCTTTGCTGCTCCTTGCTATGGTTCTTTATTCCTCAGTACAAGAAAGAATATATTTACTGAGGAACAGAGATACCTCTATCCTCTTGGTGCTTCCCATGCATAAGCACAAAGTGCTTTATAAAGGCTTTTTTGCTGTACCTGGATGTATTTATCTCAGAGCTGAGCCCACTTACTGTGGGAGTTTGTGTGAAGGTTCTGCAATGCCTGAAGGTGGAAGGAGAGAAACGGCAAGAAAGCTTTCTGAGACCTGTGCCAAGCAAAGATGACTAACAGAGAATCATAGATTCATAGAATCCCAGGCTGGTTTGGGTTGGAAAGGACCTTAAGATCATCCAGTTCCAACCCCCTGCCATGGGCAGGGACACCTTCCACTAGGGCAGTGTATGATGCTCTGCAAGGTGGTGAATGCCCACAGCAAGAGGCTGCTGGATCTAGGAGGGAACCATAGCAGCTGCTAAAGAGTAGACTGGAACCAATGCAGCGTGTTTTAAACTGCTCTTTGATGTCCCAGCATCAAACAACACAGAAGCATACAATGGTTTGGGTTGGAAGGGACCTGAAAGATCATCTAGTTCCAATCCCCACCCTCTAGAAAAGCTGAAGGATCCCAGCCTTACAATGACATGTCTGGGAGCTTCTGCACACCTAAAATGTGCTTGATTTCTGCACGTATAGTCTTCCATCAAGCTCGTTGTCACAGTGACAGTGTTTGCCTTGCTGGAGAGGTGTGGGACTGCATGTTTCTGTTCAGGCACTCTATGTAGTACACCACGGAGTCACTCTGCAGATGCAGATTGACTGTGAGCTGCATGCTTGATAGCTCCCCAATTTCTTGGGTTTTGGAGTTTTGCTCTGCAGGTGCTGGAGCGATGAGGTTTCCATATCCAAAGGATCCATCCAGGAGTCCTGGACACAGAGTTACCTGAGCAAAGCTGCTGCTGGCCATCCCAAACCCCAGGGAAAGAAAGTGTATGTGTTCTTCAGATCTCCTTGGATAAAATTTCCTGGAAGGAACAAGAGAATAAAAGGAAATCCCATGTATAATATTAGCAAGCTGCTCTGGGGTTTTGGCTTGGTTTGGCTTTGCATCACTGTGTCCAGTTTAGACTGAAGCGTAACATCCGAATGACACCATTATGAGAAGTGTGAAAGAGCATCTGAAAAGTTCCTCCCAATGAACTGCCCTTATCCATTGGGAAGTTTCCATCACTTGTCACAGTCCTAAACCTTTCCCTGTTTGCCATGAGAAAAGATGTAGGTCTGATTTCCAGTTGGATGCTTCCTGGGAGCTTAATCTTGTATGAAGTGGCCTTATTTCAAGAGGATGAAGATGTAAGCAGACCTGGCTTTATGAAGGAAGGAACTAGCTGTGTATGGGTCACAAGGAGAGTTCAGCAAGTCTGAGCAGATAAACTTCCTTGGGGAAAGCCTGTTCCCATTTTCCTGCCCTCATACAGCAGCTGGTACTGCAGGGCTGCCACTGGGAATGCTGGATGCTTCTGCAAAGCAGATGATGGCAATAAAAATACCCTGCACCTCATTAAACAAGTCAAGGACAGCCCCAACCACTATGTAGGTAAAACCTTTTAGACTCTGATGAGGCAGGGAGGGATTTCTGGCTTAAGAAGCAGGACTGGGGTGGAAGTTCAGGCAAATGCCATTGAGAAGCCTGTATACCCTGAGCTGTTGTAGAGCATGAAATACTCCAAATGCTGTGGCAGATATAAGTGCATTTGTCTCAGTTACTGCTGCAGCCCAGCAAACGTTTTCTGTGCTGCTTTGACTCAGAAGAATGATTCTCCTTTCTGTGGTGTGGCTTTTTTGGCCTCTGCTCAGCCATCAGCCAAAGCATGCTGCTACAGAGGCAAAGGGACACTGGCCTGGTGCCCATCTTCATGGCTGAATGACTTGTTTTATTAAAGCTATTGCTCTGGGGGCTCTGGAAGATGAGCCAGTCACTAAAACTGGCCTCCTGCTCTTCGAGGTGCCTGTCTGCTGAGTGGGAATGGTACAGGGATCACAGATACAAAGCCTTGTGTTCCAGGGTTCAACCCACACCATTGATTTTCCCACTGTGGTGGTGTTCAGAGGCACAGCAGTCCCACTGGGTGGATGCTCTGTGGGTCATGGGAGACACCAAAAGAGCATCCAGAAAGGCAAGACAGAAAAGCAAATTGGGTTTCTACAGATGAATTATCACACAGGGACTTACTAAAGACATGATACAATATCTGCAGTGTCTGCTTTACTATTTTATCCCTGAAACTGTGTATTCCTCCTCTTAGTATTCAGCTTCTGCTCATGGGGTTGGAGTGATGGTAAAGCCATCTGCAACATCAGTCCCTGATGAATCCTCATCAGGGCCTGTAGTGACAGGACAAGGGGTGATGGGTTCAAACTGAAAAAGGGGAAGTTCAGGTTAGATGTAAGGAAGAAGCTCTTCCCTGTGAGCTTTGAAGTCCCTTCCAACCCAAACCATTCTGTGATTCTTAGCAGTCTCAGTATAAAGAAACCCTTGAACAAGGTGTTAATGGCAATCTGTTGTCCTCCTCCTGCTCCAGTCTATTTTCCCTGCTTAGTCAGCAGGTTCTAAACCAGATTCATAGCAAGGACATAAGCAAACAACCCTAAAAATGCTGACTTCTCCAAGCACTGCACCCTGCCATTCAACCACCCAGGGACAGAAGTACTACCAGCATCTCCCTGCCAGCAGGCTTCCATCCCCTTCTAAAGGCAGATGTGTGGAGAAGGGAAAACAAGGTACAAAAAGGGATGCTAAAAAGAAAAAGCTGAGAAGAAAGAATACCTTATTCAACCTAAAGAAGGCACAGAACAACAGGAAAAAAAGGAAAACGAGACCTTTATCCCCTTTCCTGAATATATATATACATATATGTGTGTGTGTGTGGTTTAAAGCTTGGATAAATCAACCTGATATATTAACCTCTCAGGGTGGTGGAGGGACAATGCAACCTACATCTTGTGTCTCCCTCTGCTAGACAGCTCATAGCTAACATCTCCTATGTTTCTGTATTCCTTATGTGTGAGCCCTTTAGAGTCCCACTGCGAGTATGTCCTGAGTAATGGCTTCTGGTACTGGTTTTCCTAGGAATGCCCTTGGCTTTACAAAGGAAAAAGACTCGGTGTTGATTTAATGAGCAAAGTTTTAGCCACTTTCTATATAACACAGCTCCCCCATTGGTATTTAACTGAGGACTCAGTGCCTGCACAGGTAATAGAATAGTATTTAAAGGAAAGGAGCTTCTCAGAGCCTAAAAAGCCCACTAAAACCCCAACCAACAACAGCAAACCCCTCCTGCTTTGAAATTCATTTCTTACAGCTTCCCCTTTGCTTGACCATGACCTTGTGAAGGACTCTGGAGCCCCAAAAGAGGAGAGGATGTGAGGATGTGATACACGGCTCAGGGTGCTATAACCCACTCCATGCTCTGGGCCTCTGAAAACAGAATGGGAGAGGGAGGAAAAGAATGGTGGGGGAGAATGAGAAGGGAAGAGGGCAAGAAAAACATGGGAGCACATGAGGTTCAAACCCATTCTTTGGCTGCTGCTGCCTCCTGTGCCTGCGCTGGGGCCGTGAAGCCCTCTCTTAACATACATTTCCTTTTCCTCTTTCCCTGGGAATGGCAGAGTCGTGTGTAAGTGACCCTGCTCTCCCTCTCCATTTCCTTTCCCAGCAGCATCTCTCTGGGATACGCAGCCATCTGGCTGTTTATTGCAGCCTGAGCCGAAGCCTTAGATGGCTCCTGTGGAATCTGGTCCTGGTTTAATGCTTTCTCTGGCATTCCTTTACGTTTTCTCTACGGCTCATTTGTGCCCCTGGAGCACTCTGCCCTTTTGTATCCCATGTCCATTCGTGTTCCCTCCTTCCCCCAGAACTTTCCAACATTATGATTGGGTTTCTATTCTTTTTTAGTGCATTTTCCCCTCATGTTTCCCTGCTTCCTGTTAGCACAGGGAGCAGCATCCCACTCCTAATAGGCATCAGCTCTAATCCCATCCATCCTGGGTCAAGACACTGACCTCCGAGGCATTGCTGGAGGCGGAAAGGGAAGATGCAAACGATTCCAGAGGAAGTTCAGCCCTGGGATAAAGAGCAAGAATCCTTAGCTTCTCCCCCTTTGTGCTAGGAGTAAAATGCACTGTGCAGTCTGCTTAACTCCTTCACTTCCAGGAGCAAGCAAAGATGCTGGGAAAGAGAGAGGGAAACAAAAGGGATCACCTTGCATGAAAAGACCATCTATTCTACATTGCTAAGAGAGCACAATGTAATAGTAAAGGGGCAGTGTGTCCTGGGCATGGTCCTGCCCCTTTCCTCTTCTAGGATATCTCATCATGTTACCTTAGAGCTGCTGCAAAGAGAGTTATTGATGGACTTCTCATGAAAGAATGGATTGAAGCTGTAGAATGAGAGCTGCATTTGTGGCTGGTGGTGAGATAATCTATGGAGATTACAAGGCTATTGTTCTAGGCTCTCTATTTGAGACATTTTCCTTTGTATTTCATTCCTCTTGACATAACAGCAAACTTTCCAGAGTTGTTTTCTTGTCCTGGATGCCATCAGGGCAGGGCCAAAGATAAAGCTGATGCTTCCTGAACCGTTGCAAGTGTTATGGGTGACAAGCAGCGTGGAGGGATGATGTGCAGAGGAGCCTGAATGGCCACTGACAGCTTCACAGTGGCAAAGGATATGGAGCCACAACACAAAACAACTGTGTCTCATTGGAGCTCATGACAACTTCCAGATGCTGCTGGAAGCGATTCCAGATGTGTTCTTCAGAACCTCTGGTTGCTGAGAGCATCCGTGCACTGCGAGGGCTGCATGTGGCATCACTGTCTTTCTCCTTCAGACCTGAGTGATGGCGATGAGATCAGCAGCATTCAGAAGGACACCCAAAAACCAAAGCCTTGGACACGTTGCTCCAGTAACTGTGTCCTTTCAAGGGCTCACAGATGTGCGCAGCTGTGCACTTGACCAGGACACAAAGGCTTCTCTCTGTATATCGCCTGGAAAACCATTTCCTTCTTTATACACAACCACTCTGAGGGTATCTCCATAGTGGAATTAGGGAGCGGGAGGCACGCAGACCCAAAGGAACCTTAGTGATGCCTCCTGAGACTGTACAGAGCAAGGAATTGCGCCTGCTTATCCTCATAGCTGGCCTGATACCTCCCCCTGCTGTTCCACTCAGCACTCACCTCCAGCTCTTGGTCCCTCCTGTAGGAATGTTGTATAACCCATTCCCTGTTTCCCCATGGTTGGGATAACGCCAGCTCTCCCTCTGCTTCCTAGGGCTGGGGTTTAAGACATTGATTTGCTACGTTTTGCATGGGGTTATTTTATTATAGTACTGAATCCTAGGATGGTTTAAGTTGGAAGGGACCTTAAAGCTCATCCAGTTCCAACCCCCTGTCACCTTCCACTAAAGCAGGTTGCTCCAAGCCCCATCCAGCCTGGCCTTGAACACTGCCAGGGATGACAATTTACACCCTCAGCACCATTAAAGGCCTTCTTTTGTCCTTCGCAGCATGAACACTTCTAGGCTGAGACTGGTTTCTTTTTCAGTGGTTTTAAAGTAAAGGATGTAAGGATACAATTATGGGATAAAAGAGGGAGGAAGAAGATTAACTCAAGCTCATCCATGACCCTTCGCTGTTCTATGCAAACCATGTGGTGTGAAGCAGGCAGGCAGTTTTACAAGGTGTGTGCAGGCTAACACCATTCCATTGATGCTGCTGGGGTAGCAAAAGTGTTACCCTGTCTGTGGAGACAGAATAACATTAGATTGGAAAACACTGGTTAAAGGGGGGGTTTATTCAGCATCCAGCTCAAGGGGTGCTCATGCTATTAAAAGTGACTGTTGCTTTCCAAAGGAAAAACAGCTACAATGGTAAGAGCAGAGTGAGGCAGGCAAATGAGAGGCAGAAGAGGGCGCATGAAGCAACGATTTTGCCCATTATGGTACAGAAGTTCAGGCTGAATGCTTCAGCAAAGCTTCGGGACGTTTTGCTCCTT